GTGTTGTCCCGGACCGCACTCTGCTGCGTTGGGTCCTGCGATAGTGCTGGTCTCTAAGGTGCCTGTTATAATGTTATGATCGAGGCTCTGGACTCTGAGCATAACTTGTTTTTCTATAACAAACTATAAAATATTTTCTATAAAAACGTTAAAGCCCTGGCAGAGGAAATAGCTTGTTTTATATTTAATTTGATTACATTAATGTTATAAGTTGAGATTTACAAGCAATATTTTAACTGCTACTGTGTAAAAGGAATACTGCTGTAAAAAAAGCACCTTATTTGTTTAAAGTGTTTGCAAACCAAATGTTATTGCACTTTTGTTCATATAGCAGTACTTTTAAATTAAAAAAGTGCACAATACACTACTTTTGAATGCATTATTGAATTTTGTGCATAACACGATTAATCACGGTTATTCACAGACAATCATGCGATTAATCGCGATTACACATTTTAATTGTTGCCCAGCACTTCTCTCTCTCTCTCTCTCTCTCTATATATATACACACACACAGTATGTATGTGTGTGTGTGTGTGTGTGTTCTCAACAATTTCCACCTTCCCATGTGTTTAAACAAGTGGAAAATGTTATCCTTGATAATTCCATATTTACATCTTCACTCCGCCTGCCAGCTAATCCGTGCGATGCAGCGCTGCAAATCTAAATCGTGTCACACAGTGCAGTGCATTTTCCAGGTTTCCACGGGGTTATGATAGCATCTCTCAGCTTGCGCTTGCTTGCGCTATTTGCCATTTGCTGATAAGTGCGTCGAGCGGTGGTTTGCTGGGTCGAGCAATTGCCCCTGCATTTCACAGCACTGATGGAACAATTTGAAATGCACTCGTCAGGGAAAGCATCACACTTACAGCTTTATTGTGCTCTTTGAAAAAGACCTGTGAAAACAATTGAATGTAGTGTTGCCATGAGCTTGCAGTCTTATAGGGAGTTTGTTTTTCCACAGGCACCTTGTGAGAAACTCTCAACTCCATCCTTTTCATTTACCTTTCCCTTTTTGAAGTCAAACGATGTTGTCTTTCTGGATCGACATGAAGCTGGAAGCGATTCAGATGGTTGTCTTTGATCTGATGTATGTGAGTGTTGGTGTACAGATACACAACCTGATTATCTGAAGTGTCGTCTTTTTATTTATGACACACAGTAGACTAATCATGCCGCCCTGACAAAACAATCTAGGCCCACTTCTAAAAACGTATATTTTTGAGAATTTATTTTAACTTTGCCATGTTGTGATGACAAAAAAAAAATGTAGCTAGTCATGGAAAGCAGTGAGTTTAAGACCAAGAAGAAGCTTCTGCCATCCAGTTGCATCAGCAGTGGACTGAACGAACATACGTGCAAGCGATAAGCGGTAATCCTCCTATAGCTAACACCCACTTTACTGCCATTCAACAAATCACTACTGGGCAAAAGTTACATCACCTGTTTAATATTCATGAGCCAAGCTGGTTTAAAATGTGTCGCCACCACTTTTCAGTTTATTTCAGTGTCCCTTAGTTTAA